CACACACCCCAAAGTCTAATCCCTCCTGTCAGGGATCTGGCGTGGTCTGTAATGGCCACTCCCTACGGCCAATGGCTGGGTGTACTGCAAGGGGGAAAAGGGGGAGATGCAGGCCCGCCCTTTACTCTGGATCCCGGCCAAGGGCCCCTCTGGCGGCAGCCTCGCTGTCCTCCTTCTCTCCCTTCCGTCTGCCTACTTCCCTGGGCCGCTTCCCCTACGGCCCCTTGCACCCGCTAGGCCCCTTGTGTGTAAAAGCAGCCGCCCCACTACAGTGGTGTTTATGTGACCATCACTTATTTGCACTGTAGTGTCCAGGAAATGGATCTCTTGTGTAGACTGGTTGATGGTGGGGTGGATATTGTTGAAATCCAGATGGAATTCTTCAAGGGCCTCCTTTCTGTGGGTCCATATGATGAAGATGTCATCAATGTAGCGCAAGTAGAGGAGGGGTGCTAGGGGACGAGAGCTAAGGAAGTGTTGTTCTAAGTCAGCCATAAAAATGTTGGCATACTGTGGGGCCATGCAGGTACCCAAAGCAGTGCCACTGACTTGAAGGTATAAGTTGTCCCCAAATCTGAAATGGTTGTGGGTGAGGACAAAGTCACAAAGCTCAGCCACCAGGCGTGCTGTGGCCTCATCAGGGATACTGTTCCTGACAGCTTGTAGTCCAGCCTCATGTGGAATATTGGTGTGTCAAGGCTGCTTCCCCACTCTGAACTTTAGGGTACAAATGTGGGGGCCTGCATGAAAACTTCTAAGCTTAACTACCAGCTTAGATCTGGTCCGCTGCCACCATTCCCAAGTGGATTCCCTTCCCTGGGAAGCCTTGAGAAACTCTTCACCAATTCCCTGGTGAATACAGATCCAACCCCCTTGGATCTTAAAACAAGGAGAAATTAACCATCCCCTCTCCTTCCTTCCACCAAGTCCTGGTGAATACAGATCCAACCCCCTTGGATCTAAAAACAAGGAAAAAATCAATCAGGTTCTTAAAAAGAAGACTTTTAATTAAAGAAAAAAGGTAAAAATCATCTCTGTAAAATCAGTATGGAAAATAACTTTACAGGGTAATCAAACTTAAAGAACTCAGAGGACCCCCCTCTAGCCT